ATCACAAATTTTGTAATTTTAACAACGCTGTTCTCTAGAGTACATCACGCTCTCCCAAGATTTTTATCTTCTTTCTTTTTTATTTTCATGTAGCATCGTCAATTGTATATTTCAATTGCAAGGACAGCACGAGTTCACAGCGGAGATATCAACGTGTTGCCCGACGCGAAACGATGAAAGAGAAAAAGACATTCCGTGCCCCGTTTTACAACGCGCGCATTGATGTTATTTATGCATTTGTACGTGAGCCGCTTACGGAAATAAATCTTCGCGCAACATCTCGCGTTCTGCATTAAGGAATTCGCGCGTTGTAACGTTGAATAACGGTGGTAATGGCAGAAAAGCGGGCCGCCTATTAAGCCGCAATTAACCTTCTGACCAGCAACGCTCCGATACAGCGCGGCACACTTTAATATGCTAATACCACTTTTCTTGATTCCGCCGAGGAAAAGCCCCCCCCCCCCTTCCGATTAAGAGAGTGTCGAAGACCTCTGGTTGTCGCGCTGCTACCATAGAAATCTTAATACAACAATGGTAATGAATATTAAATTTTAGTAGCTAAAAATTTTTCTAGATGAAGAATTGTACAAGTAAGAGCCAAATAATTCCATTATTCTGCTTTTCACAAAAATTCTACTCCGGAAAGATACACTCCAGTTTCATGTATTCAGTCCTTAAAATATTCCGCGATACCGAGTCATTCTATTCGCAATATAATGTAACGTTAATGCTGGGTTTCGATACATTATGCATCTTTCTCGTAGCGGGAAACATAACGACCGCCATTAAAGTTTCGACGCTCAATCGTTCGCGGCGAGAAAATTTATCATCGTGCGTGATAAAGGTACACGTGAGTCGAATTTAATAAAAAAAAAAATTGCATTTGAATGTATAACGCATTCGCACAACGTGCGTATATAAAAGACCCGCGTAAAGCTTCAATATTTCAATACGTTATCTGCAAAAAATCAGGCCGAAAGCGGCGCGATCGATAGCGCAGACGAGAGCGTGTACGCATATACCTACTATACAGCGAGCAAGTCGTTTTTAACGGCTGTTTTACCTGCCATGCTGCGCCGCGTTATTATCGGCGATCACGATACACATGCGCTCGCATCGAACGCGATCCTAATCCGATTTCGCGTGCCGCATAATAAACCGTGCCGCACTTGTCTCGTTTGCGAGAACTCGCCCAAATCCCCGGACGACCGTTTTTCCGACGGTTTCTGGACCGCGCTTCGTACAAACTGCTCAGGATTCGGCGAAATCAGCATTAAAAATCGACAATTCGATAGAAGTTCTGAGGTTTTCGACAAGTGTTATTTCGACAAGAATGCAGAATATCTAAGTGTATAATGAATAATTTCATTCATGGATTGTAGAATATTCAAAATCCATTAAGAATTTCATTCCTCGGTAGAGTCTTCAATAGAAATTTAGCAGTAACTATTTATATGTATTACATAGATATTTCTGTAAGCTTTTCTATATATATCAATATAAAGTTAATTTTTTATTAATAAAAGTGTTGAAAGGAAAATTTTTAAGTTATGAGCAATAGAAAATGGATAATTATTTAAATATCGATCGCTGAATTTATTGACTTTCAATTTTTATTTTAAAAAATTGAGAAAAAAAGTAGTTTCCGAGTTATATTAATAATTGTACACTCTATGTACAATTTATTAATATAATGAAATGAAAAGGACGTAGATAAAATAATGCTGAAAAGAGGTACACAATGCAGTTCATTTCCATATTACAAGGTAGTACAAACAAGAAGGCATAAGGCAGCAAAAGACGATTCGTAAGAGCACAAGAAATATCCTAGACATTTGCATTCATTTTGCATTTTTACATCTCATTAAATTATTTACGAATATATCCGTGGAAGATTAACGCGACATTCGTTGAAAATATTTTTCGCACGTGTCCGTTTTCAGGATCGTATCCCGACTTATCATGACCACATTTACAATAAGAGAGATGATATAGCGATTTTCTACGCTAAAAGTTAGATCTGAAAGGAAAGTTTACTCCAGTCGTCGCCATTGCCCCAGGTATGCAAGATGAATTGAAAAGATACAGTGAGATAGATACAGAATTAGATAAGGGAAAAGAGAAATGAAACTGCGCAGACTATTGGCAGAAGTTTAATCTGCCTTGTCTAGGAAAATTAGTGCAATTAAGTCCGCGCGACGCCGCGAGCATCCTCATAATTGAAGATCCGCGTAAGAACATGGCAAGCCTATTTTCTCGGAGGAATAAATTACTGCTTCAATACATATATTTATGTCCTATATTTAGCGCTAAATGTGACCCTCTGGTGACACACAGATTTGTAGGTATAATAATTTCAAATGCTCTATCTTCATATCAAGGTATTAATTATTTGGCCTTAGTAAAACATAACGAAATAATTCGTAGAATCCACAAAAACAATCCGTGAAATATATAATGTCCTCGTCGTTCCCTTATTTAACAATATCAAATAAAACATTGGGTAAAAATGTCTTACCAATACTTTTGAATGCAATACTTGTCTTGCAATGTTATAAAGATATTTGTTTGGATTCTGCAGTAAAGCAAAGATAAATCGGTATCGGTAGGCATGAATATGTATGCAAGCGAATGAAGTACTTTGGCAGAACTGCAACATGTATCTCGTTTCGTGCTAAACGTAATTGTAGTTTACAAGGGTAGAGTTTCGCCCGGAACATGAGTTTGCGACTATTTAATTACAGGCGCGGTCCATTACTAATTAATCACTCTTCTACTTGCACAATCGAGCATTATATTGTAATGACCAGTAATTAGAGATACTTGTGATATGGACATAATTCTCGGCTCTATTATAGCTTGCAATAATGTCTTCCAATATGTATTCCCCCGTAATTATACATTTGCCGATTGTCAACGGATTATTATTCTTGTTACGCCGTTATCGAGAAAAACTATAATGTATCATACTGTGTAATATATTACGATTATATTTCGCTGCATCGCCGCAAATATATAATGCGTTCCGTCGTTAAATCGCATGTATTCGCTTGCGGCGACTAATAAATCCTCATTCACCGGGATATTTTCTCGTTTACGTGCTCGAGAATGTATCACTCATTCTTGCTTGAAATCGTATTCCTCTCACTCAAGTTGACTTAATCGCTACATCATGAAGATACGATATATCCACAAAAAAAGCATTGCTGCATTTCTTTTATGGATCAATGTAACGGCATCGCGATTTAGAACGCATAATTGAAAAAAAATATACGTTATTTTAGTAGTAAATCGTGGCGTAAGATCCGTCGAATAGAAGAAAAGAAAAGTGATTGCTCTAATTGACTTCATAATGATATGAGAATATATCGAGTCTGCTAGAGCGTCCGATCAACCGCGCTTCCTTTGGACGCTAAATAAGTGGCTAAGAATAACTCGCGCTGATCTACTGACTGCAATGACAAAATCTAAACCGCTCATTATAATCTCTCATTACATTTGCGTGGCTATAAAAAACTTTTTAGAAAAATTAATACCACTAAAGTGAGAATAGAATTTCTTTTTAATTTTCTCCAATAGTTTTCTATAAATCAAAATAATTAATAATATAATTAATTTAGTTATCTATGACTCTTCTTTAAGTTTCGTTATAGATATGAAAGCTAGATCACTCTCAGTATATCACGTAATTATCAGTAGAATATCGAAAGTTTGAATAAATCCCAATTCTAATCACAATTTACTTTACGCTCGTACTTTCTGCACATCATTCAAAACATCAAAATCATAAACGATGATTAATACGTGTCTTCTCTGAACACCTTAAAACCCTGCGATTGATCCTCGCGTGACATCTCGCGTGTCGAGAAACGAAGAAAATCGCCCTAATGACGTTTAGTCGAAATTACCCGTGGTCCTTCGGTCAACTCGGTTGACGGGTCTACGAAAGAAAAGAGAGAGGAAGAGAGAAATAGAGAGAGAAACGTGACGTCAGTTGGCGGAAGTCAATTGGCGCGTCATGCACACACGAGAGTTGATTCTACAAACGGCCTTCCTCGCCTTCTCCTTCGCCACGGTATTAAGTTTAGCCACTTTGGCCTGACGCGGGCAGTGTGTCAAGATCACTCGATTCGCCGTTGATATCGACCTTTCTCTATCTCCCCGTCTCTCTCGTTCGTTTTCTCGCTTCGCTGAGAGAGGCGCGCTCCAAGTGTCGCTCGCAAAGTAGCGGCAGATTCGTGTGTAGAAGAGCTAGATCGAGAAATCAAAGAGAGGAGAGGGCTAGTTCGAGTGTAGTTCGAGAGCGGTAGACAGACAGGCTGTCTCGTGCCTGCTTTCATCTTTCTCGGCAAAGCGACGGATCGGTCCTTTGAAGGATGCCGGAGTAACTCGGCGAACGGGGTGACGAGAGAGAGGGTTGTCTGAGATTCAAAGTCAGAAAGAGCCAAGCTTGCTTTCCCTTTTGGAAATAAGATTCGCGTGTTAGATGGTTGTTACAGTGAATACGTTATTCTTCGCGGTATATTCTGAGAGTGGTACTGCTTGGAGCGTGTTGGTTTGCATGTTTGCGTTTGAATGATAGATATATAGATATATAGGTAAGTCTTTGAAATTCGTTTTAAATTACAACTTACGAAGAAAATCGGTTTTCCAAAAGGTAATTTATATGATGCACATAAAGAACTATTTATTTTTATTATATTAAAATATCAGTATCTACTTGTGCTTTTATTGTATAGCTAATATATTATAACTACTGTAAATAGTAATATAAAACCGTGCTTTGACCGCTCATTGGTTCTTCTCTGACCATTATAAATTTTACATCAAAGAACCTTAAGAATTGGAATAAAAAAACGTGAGGAACTCAGACGTATTAAAAGATTAAGAGATTAGGGATTCTACCGTAACGTTTAAGTGAAGTAAGTCAGAACGCAGTAAAGAGAGAGCTCACCTAAGATGGAAGATGGAATAACGAGGGAGCACCCGTTTGATTGCAGGAGGATGCAACCACGGGTGACAGTGGCTCTGGCCACGGTCTGGCTGACGGTGGCGGTTCTGATAGGAGGAGCAGTCACCCTCCGCCTCTCTCACGATCAATACTCCCCCGCGCCTCCACGCCGACACGCTGGGATTCGACGAGACTATGCTAGAGACTGGAGGGATCACGATCCGGCCGAGGATCAACCGCTCGACCTTTGGATCGGCTCGCGAAGGTCGATCTCTGCGGAGGGTATGTCAGATTCTACAACACTGTGTCAAACTGTACAAAATAAAGCACCCATACTGTGTCCCGCTGTCAATTCAAGGACTGATGTCGAATATGAGATTGTCATTTATATCAGAAAAAGCTTAGTATAAATCTTTCTGATTTCTTTTCTTCCCCTTATATATGATCAAATATATGGAAAAGATATAATAATATTATGGCTTATATTTCTAAATGTTAATATTATTTTACAGAAATAATCTACTTGCTTCTCTTCCTCTCCTGCGAATGTTGAATAGAAATATATATTTTCAATATTTTATTATTTACATTATTTATTATACATTTAGTTATAACATATTTTATATATAACTAAATGTATAATAAATGTATATATTTTATATATTTGCTAAGTACATATATATATTGCTCTATTTCAATTGGCTTTAATTACATCAGCGATTTAATTCTGTCGCGCCGTCTAGTGGAGCCGGAATAAACGCGACGCGATAAAACGCGTCGTTCGGTCTAACCAGTAGAAATCCGTTCGCTCCGACTTTCTGATTAATCAAGGTTTCCTTGGTCGACGTCTTCGTGCAATTCTAATATCGAATGAATATTGCTCACGGCTTAAAAGCTCGAATTTTCAGCATGCATTCAATAAATGTAGTTATTTTCATTTCCCCCTATCGCGCTTGATTAAAGATAATACTCGGAATATATATTTCTACTTGCATATTTTATGTGTTAAAAAATCTGAAAATTTATATTAATTATATTACATTATGTTGTCAGTACAATGGCAATTTCATGGTATTACGTCCTTTATTAATTTTCAGAATTAAAAGATATTTAGAGAGAGAGAGAGAGAGAGAGAGAGAGAGAAGCAAATAGAATATTTTAATAATGAAATAAATAAAGTAAATTCAACACATTAAAAAAATGTATACGTAATTCAATACATTCAAAAATACATAAAGATTATTAAATTTTCTTTATATGATTGTTAGTATGGAAAGAAACTTGAGAGCGAGAGCTATTATTTAGGGGAATAATGGAGATCTATATTTTTGGAGTAACACACACGCAAACGCTGGTCTTTATATCATAACGGCACGCAAGAATTTCGGGGAAATAAATTGGCGTCGAACATTACTTACGTCACTATAGTATGCAACTACATTAGTTTAGTCGTGTATAAAACCGTTATTAAATATCTTTTGAAGAATCACGTCCGTAGATTAAATCTAAATTAAACCGGCATTTCAAGTTGCGTGCTAATGCGAGAATAGTTAGAATTAATTTTCTGAGTATATCTAATTTGCGATAGAAGTCGTACTAAATAGCACCTAATTCCAAGTTGCAATTTGTTTGGATACACATCGAGTCAAATCATTTTGAACTTCTCAAATCCGATGCGAAGTTCATAACTTTTTATGCACTGCAATTACTCGTCTCGCATATACCTCGGAAAAGTTTTGCATCATAAAATATTACATATTCGCAGTATTCGCACATGTTTAAAAACCTACATATATTAAAGATATATGTATAAATATATATAAATTAAAAAGATTTGCGCGGCTTGGAAATTTCTCTCTCTGACTTTTATACATATAAATAAGTTTCAAGTAATATTGTTCCATTAATTTAATTTTTATAATTTGTTTTTTTGCACAACATTTGTGCAACAAATAAAACAATAAAAAATAATTTCTATATTAAATCATGTAAATTAAATTTCATATTATAAAAAATCTTTATATACATAATATAAAATTTTATGATTTAATCGAAGATATTGTGCATTTCGCGTGATCTAATATTACTTTTAAAAATATATGAAATTAATTATAAATAATTATTTTTGAATGCATGGCTGATTAAAGTTAAAAAGCTATTAGACTTATGATTTCAAAGTAAGCAAGTATATTTTTTGAGATATCTCTCATTAAAGAAAAATCTTCTGATTACATTTTCCAGAAGCTCTATCTCGCAATGCCAAGTTTACCGAGCGAGATTTTTCGCTTGAAAGTCTCTTGAAGGACATTGTCTCGTCAAAGCGAATCTACCCCTTTTCAGACTGGCAAAGGCGGTTGCCGAATATCGTCGGCGCGGAATTCGCGTCCGACAAAGTCGATTACGGCTACAAGATGCCGGAAACGCTTTCCCGCGAGACGGTGGTATCCCCTTCAAACCTTTTGGACGACCCCTTTGTGGCGGACGACACGTTCCAGGATCAAGGTCCGGGGTCGATGGAAATATACAAGCTAGACCTATCCAAAGAGAAGACTCTACTGACCGCAACCACGCCCTCCACAAATTTACCGTCGGGAAATAAAAGCAAAGCTCCAAAAAAGACGGGCCATCTGAATTCAAAGACAAAGACAACGGAAATCAAGCCGACAACGACAAATGCGAACATTAGTCAGAGACAATCAAACTTTTTCGAAGAACAACTAACCGAGACTCCCTTGGTCAACAGAGACGCCTTTGGCATCGGCGGCGTGCCGGAGCTACAGGTTGGATGCGAGGGTCTCGAAGCGTCGTCGTCGTCCCACAAGGCGAAAAGATCGATAGATACGCTCGACAAGGAGAAGGGCGAGGTACCGCCGTCCGTATTGCTGGACGTGACACCGGTATCCCTGGATCTCGACGACGTTTTGTCATACGACGAAGAAGAGTATGAGGAGATGGACGAGCTACTCAAGCTCAAGAGACTGGAGACTACCACGAAAGGGAACAAACCGAACAGGGGAGATATGGATGCGAGCCATCTTAATTCTGACCATCTGGACGAGTTCAGGCGACTGGAGAAGTTACCAGTACGAGGAGATTTGGGTGGATCCACTCCAACGAATTCTAGCGGAGCCATAACTGACCAAAAGGAATTGTCCAAGCGATCTCTGACGGATCTCGAAATTAAAAATTACGAGGAGACCAAACCGAAGCGAGAAACCGTTTTATTGGGCGATGATGATGGCGCCAGCAGGAGTCATGGTCGACGGTTGCTGTGGTTTGCCGAAGCAAATACTGAGGGATTTCCAGACGGCAAAAGCGAGCGGAAGCGCACGAGACGGTCGATCGATTGGGGCTTCGGCGAGGATGAAGGTGTCGTGTCCAGCGACGAGTTGCAGACCGTGACTGCACGTCGCAGGCAGCACGAGAACCGATATCATCAAGATATATCTAGCAGACGTGACCAGCATCGTGAATTAAATACTGACATCGATAGTATTAGACAAGAGTACGAGAAACTACTTGAACAAAAACGAAGAGAAGAGGAAGAACATATACGACGAATGCAACAGGCTAATCGAAGAACGACGAGTAGATGGGAGGAGGAAGAAAAAAGAAGAAGAGATGAGATGCGGAGAAGACAACACGAGGAATATCGTAAAAGGATAGATCACGCTTCAACACCTCGCATAGACAACGAAGAGACGCGACGACGACAAATGGAAGAACGACAAAGACAGGAAGCAGCGCGCAATGAGATGGCTAGAAAAAACGAAGAAGAATTAAGAAGGCGAGAAGAAGAAGAACGAAGACGACGATTACAAGAAGAAGAAATGAGAAGACCGCAGAGCAAATGGCAGGAGGAAAACTTGAGAAGATCAGACTCTAGAACCTCTCCTGTAAGTGACGAAGAAAGAAGACGAAGACTTTACGATGAAGAAATGAGGAGACGGGAGGAAGAACGACGAAGACGATTAGAAGAAGAAGAAGCAAGGAGACAGGAACAGTACAGATCGCAGCAGGAAGCGCAAAGAAAAAGAGAAGAAGAGGCAAGGAGGCGTCAAGAAGATCCAATGAGAAATCTTTCCGAGGAAGATAGAAGGAGACTAGAGGACCGTCGTAGAGAATGGTCAGAGAAGCGGAAGCAGGAAAACGAAAACGAAAGAAGGCGAGAGCAGCCACCATCGAATTTAATGCGCGCGGAACATCCAGTCAGTCATCCGAACAATATCAGACAGCCTGATCAAGACGAAAAGAGACGACAACAAGAAGAAAGACAGCGGGAACAGAAGCTGCGAGAATATGTCGCGCGGAATCGACCTATCAATGTCGATCGAAGATCGGAAGAGAGACGACGCTATCGACCCGAGGAGAACAGAGATCCACGGATGAATGCGAGTAGAAACGATGAGGAGTACCGTCGACGAGTATTAGAGGAGCAGCGTAAAAGACAGGAAGAAGAGAGAAAATTACAGGATTACATCAGGAGGAACCAGCCAGTAAACGTGTCATCGAGGGATAATCAATCGACCGCGGCCGGTCGTAACTGGTTCGAGGAGCGGAGACTGATCGAGGAAGCCAGGCGTCGCGACAGATATCCCGATCCAGGAGCGAGGAAAGTCCACGGACCGTCGGCGCCTACGTATATCGATCCGCGAAGCTCACCGGAGGAAGTCAGACGGAGGCAGCAGGAGACGGCGAGAAAGTTAGAGGAGGAAAGGCGGTTGAGGTACGAGGCGGAAGAGCGACGGAAAGCACTCGCTAGGCGACAGAGAGAGGAGGAGGAGAAAGAAAGACGATTACGGGAGGAACGGCGAAAAGAGGCGGCCAGACGAGAAGAGGAGGCGAGGAGGGCGCAATCGAGGAGGTACGAGGAGGACAGGAAGCGGCTGGAGGTAGCGAGGATACAGGCTGAGAGAAGAAGGGAGGAGATGTTGAAGGAACGATCCAGGAACGAAGCTGGAAGGACGAGACAGCCGGAAGCCACGAGGCCGATCTACCAGGATCCTCGACTTTTCGAGGAGCACAGAAGGCGGCAAGATAGCCGGCCGATTCCGAGTAGTAATTTGATGCGAGCCGAGGAGGCCAGGCGGGCGGCGGCAGAGCGCGAGAGACAAAGATTGGAAGCCGAGAGACGACAACAGGAAGAGAGCAGGTATGTAAGTGGTCCTTGGGGCACAGCGTTTCGCAAAAATAAAGTTTTCGCCTGGCGCGACGCCAACGAACTTTATTTGAGTCGCGCTTTACAGCTATCCATGTTCGTTACTACTATCGTTTGTCTCTGTTCGTTTGTTTCTATTTTACTCGTATTCCCTTATCGCTAGAGACTAATATTACTGTCAAGGTAGTATCCCCACAATGAAATTGATAAGCACAAATCTGTACTTATCCATTTCACAAATTTATTTTGGGCTACGAGTTTATGAGAAATCGCGACAGAATTCGGGATAAAATTTAATTTTATTCCATAAAATTCAAATATTCCATAAATTTAAAAAATGTTTCAGGAATGAGAATATATATAATTAAAATATATAAAATTATAAAAGTATTCTAATGCAAATTATAAATCGCCTAACGTAGATATATTTCAAATGTAAATATAATGTAAATATACATGTTAAATAGTATATTTAAAAAATATATAAATTAATGTTGTAGATTTCTTGTACGTTTCGTCTTTTATTTTGTGTTACATTGTATATTAGTATTAATTATTTCTTAAAAGATATTATCACATTTCCTGTGATTTAATACAGCAAATTTCGCCTGTGCAATCTGAGATATTTCTTGCGTAAAATTTTAAATAGCAACAACCGTGCGATATATCAGAGTCCGTGAACAGTGCAACTTTAATTAAGGAAACATCCCAAGCGTATCATCGAGGCGAATTTACTCATTCGAACCATCGGATAAACACGACCCTATTTCCATCTGCTGTAGAATGAGGGAGCACAGACAGAAGGAGGCCGACCAGTGGAAACGACAAGAACTAGCCAGACTAAACTCCCTGCCGGTGAACGCAAGGATAATAGTCCGTCCTGGCGGCTCCTCGCCGACGTTGCCCGTGATATCGAGGGGCGGCTTCGACAACGAGATCGATTTCACGGTGAGTCCTCCATTTGTCTGTCAAAACACTTCACCGCACTCCGATCGCGTAAATCCGATTCGGCTGTCCACTGGCGGTTTATTCACCGACGAATCCGATCTCGTGGTCGCCGATTGTCTCGCGCTACCAAACTAAAGCGCGCTTCATTAAACTACGGGGAAAGTTGCGGCGGATTCGTGCCCCTTCGACCCCAACAAAGCCTCCGTCTCCGGTTGCCCCGCTTTGTTCCGTTTAATTGATTGGACGTTGAGCAGCACCGCTACCGTCTTTCTCTTTAGCGCTTTCTTGCGATTATGTTTCCAAAAGTTGCAATATAATTTTAAAAAAGATAACGAAAAAGAAGAAATATGTGCTAAATGTAACAAAACAATATTATTCTTGCAAATTGCGTTATGCACGACATGAACAGATATTCTCTTTTTATGTTGTTATAAATATTTAGATATTTTTATTATCATAATTAATGATTAAAATAAAATTAAAAGGATGTAAAATAAAAAAAATTATTTCCAGGGAATCAATCCGCATCGCGACGGCGTACAAGTACCACGGTTTCCTGCCCCACCGACTCCGAGACCACCCGCCCAGACTCCTAGCGCGTGTGTTTGGGCAGTTGTTCACTGTTGTTCAGCCAATAACAATCGTCTCGTGAAGTGTTTCGAATCATTGGGCTGCCCTGGGATTAATTGGGATCCTAACCCGTGCAGAAGTCCTATCGCGGATGCTGCCAGAAAAGAAGTCCTGCAGTTCTATTCCAACGCGTAAAATAACATCGACAAGATTCAGCCTTCACTGTTCCAGAGACAAATATCAACAGGAAAAAAAAGGCAAAAACTCTCTTCAACACCGACGGCTCTCTCTCTCTCTCTCTCTCTCTCTCTCTCTCTCTCTCTCTCTCTC